GACTAGCCCGATTGGGGTGGTCTTGAGGCGTGGCATCCACCGCCATAGTTACTTCGTCGACGGCCCGGTCAATATCGTCCAGTGATCCGGTACGTCCAAATCCTCTGCCGAACCAGATTCCAGGATTGGCCTCGTCACCGGACGCATGCCTGAGTAGCTCGTCCCAATCTTGCCCCAAGGGGGGAATGTCATCTTCAGCGGTATGAGACCATGGAGAGCCCCGGTGCGATGGAGGATCATCCTCGAAGACTAGGGTTGACTTGTGCGTTCTACCGGTTTCCGTGTCGGACTGGCGGCTGTCTTGTTCAGCTCGAGCGCGAACACTCGCATTGGACGACTGATCATCACCGTCAGCAAAATTCCGTATGGAAGTGAACGCGACACTCTCCAAATGCCCGGCAATATGTCGCTCGAGCTCTACCAGATACAGAAGCCCCCTGCCTGGGATATCTGGACGCCCTGGCGCTACCGTTCTGGGTTGAGAGTCCTCTCCACTAGATGAATCGCTCGAGTCCGACTCGAATGTCACCTTACGCTTATCTAATTCTGGCTCCTGGGCGCGCTTGGATCGCAATTTTATATGAGCGGCAATCTTTTTGCCCTGAGCTATGTCTTCGGCGGCCAGAAGAAGCTTGATATTATCGGGAACGGCGTCGCAGAGCGGACAGACGTGCTGCTCCCGCGACAGTGGCAGCGAGTTCTGTTCGATGACCGTGGGAATCTGGGCAGGCGTAAAGATTCCTGGGTGCTTCTCGGCCAGATGGCTCTCTAGACGGCTTTCACTGTCGAAATAGACGATGTCATGTCCAATATCGCAACACCACTGGACCTGCTTGTACACCTCTTGCGGCCAGAGGACTCCGTGAACGGAACGCATGTGGCCACGCCACTCGGACCGCTTGTTGAAGAGCTTAGGAGGGTCCTTGCATGACTCAAAAAGACAAGTGTAAGGTTCCAGCGCCCCGAGGATGTGATGCCTTTGCCCCTGTTAGCAGGTAGCGTGTCAACGTTTGGCGCAGAGGTATACCTCCACCACAAATCATTCCGGTACTGCTCGGCAGAGTGCATCTGGAAACACCAGTCGCACACTTTCTGCTGTCCTTCACCAAGAACGGGCGGTTTGGGATAGGGGAGATTGTTATGCTCGACGACAGTGGATCCAACACTGATGGCTGATGGGGCCGGTGCAGACATTTGCAGCTCAGGAATAGGCGCTGGTGGGGCGTAATGACGTACAAAGGCGCCAGGATCGATTGTCGACGCACTTGTTTGAGATTGAGCCGGGCGTAGAATCTGTGGACTGGGAGCGGGTAATGGTGGTTGCGCAGCCGAAGGCCCTGGAGCCAGGCTTGGTTTGAGTGTAAGGGCTTCATGGTGCCCTGGCTGCGGCTTCAGTTTGCTTTGGTGACTCCGCTTGTATCGAAGACTCTGCCGGCGGAACTTGATGGATGTAGCAAGGTGTTTCCACAGACCCCTGCTAGCGTCTGGGAACTTCAGGCGAACGATCTCGAAGGCGAGGCTGTAGAAGTAGTCCTCATCGTCGTGAATGTCGGAAAAGGACTTGATGCGTGACGCTAGACTAGCGGTGGATGACTTCCTGATCGCCACGGCCATACGATGGAGTCTGTCGACGCCGCCGCGGAGGGAGTTGAGGGGCTCTGAGGGGTCCTCTAGCTCGGAAGAGACCACTACGTAAGACTGTTAGAGTAGTGCTGGCTCAAAGTCGTTGCGGAATGGTACGAGGGACGAACAGCGGATCAAGTTCCTTTCCAGCAGTAACAGCAGGTCAACAACCATGACCCGGATCTCGTCGCTGAGTCTTAGTCGGTACTCGAGCGATGCATTGCCGATGGCGAGCACTCCGAGATACGAGATCCAGGCGTCGAAGCGCTGTCCTACTTCCTCTAACCGAGATCGGGCTGTGGCGAGCCATGGAGCGAAAAGGGATTCAACGAACAGTGTCTTGCAGGTCCGGGCAAGGATGCTGATCCCCTTGGTCCCCAGGCCTAGTTGTTGAGCGTCCATTGTGCGGCGAATGTGCCAAGGCATCGACGGTCAAATTCGTTGATCGACGTGGAATGGCAACATTTCTGAGGCCGGAATTACTACAACACACCCTTGTCAGCCGACGAAGTCAAGATGAAACCTGTCAGGCGCGGTCCGAGGTGCTTCTTGTCTGTGATCGAGGTGAGGTAGCTCATGTGGGGCACAAGTGCGGGGTCATCTGCGCGTTTCTTCCAATCACAGCCATGGACTGCCGCCTCCTGACAATCCCCACTTACCTCTGCCAGTCACGTGGACAGCTGAAATTGATCTCTTTACGATCCCGAAGCGAACGCAACCTGAGGAGGATCTACATGTTAACTCACTCCTTCGTCAGAGTCGAGGGCGCTGGAGGGCGCTGTAATCGATCCATCAGATAACCGCGAGTGTAAAATGGCGAGCGACGATGGCGTAACCCAGACTTGGTTGAGTCTGACCGCTGTCCTCGGGTTGTTTGCGGCCGACCTCCCCTGGTACGCGTCTCAACTGAACAGAGAGGGCCTGTCAGTCACAGATCGTGGGTCCATCGAGGACTTCCGCGTATTCTTCCGCCACGAGATCAAGCAGATGGCCATGCTTCTCAAGCCCGATCGAGGGTGGAGTCATCTCTCGGAGGATAGTGCGAAGGAACTAGGGACCAAACTAGGCCAGGTTCTCCAGCTCCTAGAATCCCAAATTGACGACGAAGTCGTTGAGGTCTGTACCAGAAAATACAGAAGTGAGCAAGTAGGTGATTGCCCCGGCTTCATTTTCAAGCTTTTACGTGGCTGAACTATGACAAGCGCAAGGTAGAACCCCCGGTTGACAACGTTGTCACGTCGACCTTGTTCTGGGCTGCTTCAAAGATTCGATTCTTTGCGAGAGTGGTCGTTTTCTCGTCAACCGAGGCCAGCCCCGAGCAGACTATTGGTCCAGCGGGCGTTTACCCAAAATTGAAGGCATTGAAGGTTCTGCTGGACCGTCTTGGTGATAGTGGTGACCCTGTCTTCAGATTCGGCTACCTAGTCAGTCTAGGGAACACCAAGGACGAGTACAAGAACGCATTGAGCGTTTTGGAACAGTTCAACCGCTTTCTCGAGTCTCTCGACAATACTAGACCAATCGACGCATCTACCAACACCCGGAAGGCTCCCATCAACTCCTCAACAAGGGCAGAGATCGATATAGTACGCGATGCTTCACTTCGACTATTCGACGCCTTTGCTCGCTGCCCCACTGAGTGTGGCGACTCACATCAGACCATGCTTCATCTTACGGGATTCAAGCTACTAGATGGCAACGGGCTCTCTCGGCCAGCCTACGACATGTTCATATCTTGTTGTTCGAGTGCAGCAGAACCTCACTGGCATGAAGCGCAATGTCTTGTCACCGAGTGAGCCCAGCTCCCGCTCACATTAGTCTGTTACTGACAATACAATCCAGCCCAACCAATTATCCGAACTCAGAGGGGCTTAACGAGGTGTGCCGAGCGGTCAGACAATATAAACAGACGCGGGAGCCCTTGCACATGATCCTGGGAGGCGAGAACCTCTTTGACATGCGTGCCGCAGGTGGATACCTCGAATACCCGCCGTTCACTTGCCGCTTGTCACTAGGTGACTTGCTGGACAGAGGCTATTTCAAAAGTGCCTACGAGGGTGGCTTATTCACACCAAGAAGCAAGCGGGCCCTCGTCCTGAACCTCGCGCAGTGTCTTCTCTACCTCTTTGGGGGCAAGTGGCTTCAGCGAGAGTGGGAGGCCTTCAATCTCGTATTTCTCTGCGAAGATGAGCATCAAACTAGACGCCTTGTCGACATGCATCGGCCGTATGTCCTTTGTTCCCTCTCACCTTTCGTCCCTACCATCAGAGTTGTCCGCGATAACTCAAGCGCTCCTCATCACCCAGCGGTCCTGGCGTTCGCCAAACTCTTGGTCAACATTGAGCGCGGCCGCAGGATCTCAGATGAAGAATGCGAGTGGACAGATGGTCGAGTAAACGAGTGGCTCACCATCAGCACGATTCTGAAGACCAAACTCTCTGGGTCACTTACGGGTCACTATACAACGGCCGTCCAGAGTTGTCTGGACTTTTCGAGGATGAGCCGTAGAGATGCAAATGAGACAGACGCAGACTACATCTACCAAAACATCGTGTTTCCTTTGCAGCAAGAGCTGGCCGACTACCCAAGATCCCACTTGGAGCATGTGGAACTCCAACTTCCTGTTACTGACTTGAAGGACGTCGCAGAGGCAACACGGACGTTTCCGGCGTCACCAGCCCTCCATCTAGCTAGGACACCCATATGGAAGGCATCGTCGCCGATCCGAGAAGTGCCTGTGCAGGACATAGCTTTTAGCGTGGTTCTTTTTGACGACTTTGAAAATGGCGAGGATAATCCCGCAAGCCAGTACGTCCCCATCCCGTAACTACTGTTATCGTGAGGGGCAGATGGCGGTCTGTCTATCGTACGAAGTACTAAGTTCTCTCTAGACTCATAAATGATCGGGCTGTCGACTTCTTCAGCCGCCTGGACAAATGGAGAGACGGGCGACGGGCCAACCTTCGACTTCTCCAAGCTGGACTGGACAATGAGGTCACCGAGTCGCGTCAAACCAGGATTGCGATTCTAGACACAGGCATAGATGTGACCAACCCCGTCTTTAAGGCGGCCCTACAGCGACTAAAAAGAGAGTGCGCCCGCCGTAATAACCCCATCAAAGTCACCGAATCTTTCGTGGACGATGATTGGAGGGATGGGGATGGCCACGGCACCCTGACGGCGTCTCTCCTACTGCAGGTTGCTCCTACGGCAGACATCTACGTGGGCAAGATCGCTGCCGGAAGGACAACGGGCCAGTGCAATGCCATAGCCGAGGTAGGGGAAGATCCACCCACCCAAACATGTTCACCTAGTACTAGGTTTTTCTCCACTAGTAGCTAGATCAACCTCGTCAGCTGTGTCATTCCTTTAACTAATCATCTCTCATTCGCAGGCTATCACCAAAGCCATCGACAAGAAGCAATGGAATGTCGACATAATCGTCATGCCCTTTGGAGTCGACAGGGAAAGGGAGGTTGTTGAAACCGCCATCAACAATGCTTACCACCGGGGGAAGATCTTGATAGCATCCGCAGCCAACTCCGGCGGCAACACGGGCAGAGCCTATCCGGCAAAAGACGAACGCGTAATTTGCATGCACGCCTCCGACGGCAATGGCAACGACTATCACGGCATCAACCCTTCCCCTTTGCCAAACACGGACAACTTTACCACCCTTGGCCTCGGGATCAGGTTCTACTGGGCCAATCAGGACGTGTGGAAGTCCGGGACGTCCTACTCAGCACCCGTGGCGGCTGGAATCGCCGCGAATGTCCTCGATTTTGTCAGACACCCCGCCCTGGGCGGGAAGTTGCCTCCTGAACAACTTAAGGAGCTGGGAACAGGAGCGGGCATGAGGAAAATGTTTCGGCTGCTCGCTGGGGACGTCTTAAGACGGGGGTACAACTATCTTGAGCCATGGAGTCTGTGGAAGGATGGGCTGGATGAGGCGGATGTGTGTTCCCTTATCAAGGCGCATCTGACGAAGTAGTACTAGTAGCAGATAAGGGGAAGATTACTAGGGGAAATTCCTAGGTATGTAGGGAGTATACCCAAGGTCGCGGGCGTTGTCAACTGAAAGGATGGTTATTGGAATGCAACAAAAAGCTCATGAGCAGTGTTAGTCCAGATCGTGATAATCGCGGTTTCAACCGTTGAGCTGGGCAACCTCGGGAACAATCCAGAGCGACTCGTCCTTGTCATCATTCTCGTCCCCTTCAACCGCCTTTAAGTCCATCTCCGAGTCCAGCTGCGCATCCTCCAACCCAGCCTCTTCCTCGAATTCCAGCTCGGGTTCCTTCCTCTTCGCCTCACCCTCTGTCCCATCCAGCAACGTCGCCCCCTTGTTATGCACCATGGCATGCAGAACCCCCTTCTTGTACGTGATCTTGCGCACGCGGAACGCAATCACAAAGTCCGTCGAACCCTCGAACGACATGCCCTCGACCCTCTTGCTCCGTACGCCGCCTTCAGGCCCGCCTTCGACGGGCACGCCCGGGTGGGTGAACCCCAGCTTCAGCTTGATGCCTTTCTCGCGGCTGTACGATGTCTCCACCGCCGCGCCATGGCCGATCTTCAGGCCCGTGATCATGTAAACAGCCGCCGAGCCCCCCGCCGATGCCATATACGAACGCACGGGACCCGCGGCCATGACGAGGCGTACGTAGTCGGCTGTCGGGTTGAAGCAGCGCGTCTCGACGACCTGGAACGAGATGACGTCAGTGTCAGCGGCTTCATAGGCCCAGCCGGCGCCGACGCCGATGCCGAAGATGGCTGCGGTCTGCGCCCAGACGCCCAGGTTGCCGCTGAGCAGGGTCGACCGTGTCGCCTTGAAGTCGTACTTGTAGTCAGGCGGGAAGGCCGGGGGGACCGGCACTCGGTCCTTGTCGTTCAGCGGCACGAGTTCCGAAAGATCAGTGAGCAGGTCACCAAGCTGGACGGGGCCGTCCGGCGGGGGCGCCGTCGAGTAGTCGGGCGCGAGAATATATGTCTTGACCATCGTCGTGGCTGTGGGATAAATTGAACGAGCGACGGAGTCTGAGTCTGAGGAGAAGGTTCGGAGTCTGTGAGGCTGTTTTCGAGCTGCCATTGCGCAAGGCGGGGTCTAGGTCAACGTGCGCGCAAGACTGTGAGCGGAGCTGTGCTGAGCTTGTTGCTGCCCAACTCCCGGCAAATGGGTCAGCCCAATCGGCTGTGCCATTACCAGAATCGCGACTAGACACAAGGACGAAACCGGGCTCAATAGCTTCGACACCGGTGCCAAAGGGTTTTTTTTAGGTCTTCTTGGCAATTGTGCACATTGTTCATATTGTTGTGTAGTGCTTAGCGCAAATACACCAAGAAAATAGCTAAGGAAGCCAGGAAACCGTCCATTAGCGCAGAAAATATGTCGCGCCATGCGAAGCAGCTGCGCCGCGAATTGCGCGATATACAGGTTCTCCCAGACCAGCAGGCCAGCAGGCCAGGTATACTTTGACGACAATCTCGGGTACACACATGACCGATTTTAGATTCACCCCTTCAGACACGGAAAATCAGTCCACTCACTAGTTGATTACGCCCGGTGGCCAGCTGGCCAATAAAGCAACTGTCTGCTTAACGTACATGTTCGCTTCCAACATTTGACAAGGTCTCAAAATAGCCAGTACCTTCTCCACCTCCAGCTGTATATCTTTCCCGTTCGTCATGACGCCCTGTTCCCGTGTGTAATATTATTAACAAGCAAGCTTGAAGGCGATTCTCCAAGTGTTCAGAGTCCTATCTACGGCGGCTGAAGCGGTGCCTGTCATTGGATGCACGGGTGATGTGCGAGGGGTTAGTAGTGAATGGCTGGTCCGGCGAGGACCCATCAATGTCGCGTGTTCTCCAATCGCCCTGTTGCTAACGCATAACGGATCGTGGCGCGCACTGCTTCCATGTTTGGTGCCCAGTTGTCATTGTCCGATCGTTGCTTGCCTCCTAGTAGAGCGAAATGTTCCCTCGCTGTGTGTCCGTGCATCGTATCATCTCCGTGCGAAACGCTGTCCATCTGGTGCATCGAAAAAGAAAGTGTTCTACTGTTTCTCGGGCGTGTCCGCAAGCGCACTGTTGCGGCGCTGTTGCTTTGATGCGGTACAGGTAGTCGTTGAGTCGCGCCATGCCTGTCCTAAGCTGTGCCAGCACATTGGCCTCCTTCCATGTCAATTGGTCATACAGTTGGCGAGTGTGTTTCCCTGGTAGTGCTCCGTCAATTCTCTCAGTGAAATCGCCGACGTTGCTCGGGATTTTATTGTCAGCACGCTGTTTCGCCCTCGCAATGCCTAGTGTTGTCGACCGTGCTCTGGGAAACTTCGCTGCGGGAGTCGCGCCCTCGCGCGTGGCGTCCCGTGCCTCGTCCTTGGCTAGTTTGAGGAGCCCATGTTCGCTGCTGACCGGCACCCACGTAACTGTCACTGAGTTTCCCTGGTCTCTCAAGATGCCGATGGTCTCGTGTATCGAGTCAACATACTGCTGGCCTGATTGCTGTCGTGGGTTTCGGAGGGTCAGGACGGCTGCCTTGTTACTCGTCAACACTTCCACGCTCCGATTTCTTAGCTCCGGCAAGCACCGGGGCGCTTGTGCAATGGCCGCCAACTCTCCGGAGAACGGGTTCTGTTCCGTCCTCAGGCCAAGGGTGAAGGAGTGGCGTTCAAGTCCCCGTCCTTGTCCACTATCAGGAGACAGTTCGATCGCCGCACCAGACCCTACAAGACCATTACGGGCTGAGCTGCTCACTGCTACATGCATAACTCCGTCCGCGCCCGCTTCTATGCCTGTCGCTGCGTCATCGTCGTCAGTGATCGTCCGGATCCGTTCGGCCCACGGAGCCAAAGAGAAAGGATTGATCGTCTCCAGCTCGTCGACCGGAATGTCGTTGAGTGCCGTCGCCAGCTCGTAGAAGGGTGACCGACAGAACCGCTTGAACTTCCGGATGCTCTTCGTCGCGTTACGCAGTGGATTTGTCGTAGGCAGAGTATGCATGTCGGTCCACATCTTGACGGCTCGTCTCCAAAAACGCTCCTGGGCGCTTGGGATGTGTGCTTCTGCTTCAGCTATACTGGTGGCAACGGTCATGAACGTCCCGACGATTGCCTGCGCCCCAGCCCTCTGCACTCGATTGATCGGGCCGGCCCGGTTGTATCGGCACGCATGCATCCATACATTGGAGGCATAATCTACGATTGGCGCGACCATAGCCGTGAACAGCTGTCTCGCCGTGGCTGGTGTGAGGCCACGAAGCCGCTGGAGCTCCATGGCCGACTCCAAGCCCTTGGCGGATGCTCGCGCCATATGCTCCTTGTACTTCAGGAATCCATGATCATCCCTAACACTTTGACTTGTCTTTTTGGTTCGACGATCTGACCTTTGATGGCGAATGCGTGAGTGTCGAACTTGAATGCCTTGCGGGTGAAGTGGATTATGGACGTCTTTTCTGCTTCGAACGTTGCTCCACTGCGTCGTTCCCAGTCCAGCGCTCGATTGATGATAGCCTCGATCCCTGCACGGTTGCTCTGCGCCGTCGGTCCAGTAACCCAGGCTGTGTAGTCGTCCACAAACGCAACAGAGCCTCCGTGGCAATCAATTTGCTGCTGCACGAGATCAGAGTTGAAGAAGAGAAAAAGAATCGGCGACAGTGGAGAGCCCTGCGGCAGGCCTGCTTGTGGAAGGATCCGCGCATCTGTTGACTGCCCGTTAACCTGTAACGTGGCCGTGCGGTTGGAGCAGAATGCCTCCACCCATCGCAGCAAACCCTCCGGGAGGCCTCTGGCCCTCATGCGCTGGATGAGTCTGGCCTTGCACACTCCGTTATACGCTCCTTTCACGTCAAAGCTAACCAAGCTCAAGATGCGCCGACCGCGCCAGGCGGCGTAGATTTGTTCTTGTAGCAGCATCAAGGCTTGTTCAGGGGACCGTTGTTTGCGTGCCCCGAAGTGGTTCGTCGGCAACAGACCGTATGTCTCGACCGCGTGAGAGATCCTCTCCGCAACCACCGACTCCAGGACTTTGCCTAGTGTCGACAGCAGCGAGATCGGCCTCCACGCCTTTGCTACTGCATAGTCGGGTTTGTCTGGCTTTTTCAGGGGAATGATCTTGGCGTGCCTCCACTGCTCGGGCAGGGTCCCTTGTTCAAGCGACGCACGGAACAGCGCAACCACCTGGTGCTTGACACTGGGCCAGAGCCGCTTCCAAACCACAACGGGCAGTCCGTCGCCGCCGGGCGCCTTCCATGACTTTGCTGCGAAGAGCTGTCGCTCAATCTCAGCCGGGGTGATGTCTGGCATGGGCACTGCCGCGCCGCGCTGTGGCCTATCGCCCTCCTCCTCGATGATCTCCGGTAGCGGAGGGAAGAAGGTGGTTAGCAGTATCTCGGCTTGCTCCTTCACGTTCATAGTCCTTGAGCCATCGCTCCGGTGAAGGTGTGGGACTTTGCCAAACGCTGAGACATCTCCCGACTTGAGGTATTTCGCCGCTTGCCATATATTGTCATTGTCCGCTAGGAATTCGTTCCAGTGTTTCTTCTTCTGTTGTCGGATGGCGTCATGGTATTGCTTCGCAGCTCCTCGAGCCGTACGCTCGAGATGCTCCGAGATCTGTCCTCCGCGTCTCGACGCCCTCGCGCGGTTCCTCCAATACGTGTGTATTTGTCGCAGCTGTGTCAAATCTTGTGTCCACCAACGCTTCGCATGGGGGCATGATTTCGCCTTGGGTGTGAGGGCATGCATCGCCTCCAACACTACCGACATGAGCCTGTCCGTCTGGTGTTGAACCGTGCCTTTGATCGGGTCCTTTCCCAGGGCCGCGGCTACTCGCTTATTGATATCGTTCCAGGGCGCGTTCTTGAAGAGCAGCCGCTCGGGCATCTTTCGCTCCGGGACTGATGTGTCAAATACCGTGTCGATGACTTCGTGGTCCGATCCGTGGTTTGAGGCCAGGGTCTTGCAGGAGATGACCGAGCCTGCCAAGTCCTCCGACACCAGTATCAGATCAATTGTCGACTCGTGCACACCCCTGTGCCACGTCTTCGTGCCCCGTTGCAGCAGGCTACTGAGTGCAAACTCGTTCATCAGCGCAATGATCCGATCTGCCTCCCCGTATCGCTCTGGCACCACATCTTCTCCTCCCCACAGCTGGTCATGGCGGTTGAAGTCGCCCGCAATCACCACATCTACGACTCAACCTGCATTCCGCCTGGTGTCGGTGATAACCCGCCGCAGTGTATCACACGACTCCCGAAGCGCCTGCTCTTCACTCCCCTGTACATAGACAGAGAATATCAAGACCAGACGATCCGGCAGCCGCAACAGCGCCGCAGTCATGTCCGGAGACTCGACCGGCACCTGCTCCGCATCCAGATCGTTTCTGACCCACAACATGCTTCGAATCGCCCATCTCCCTTCAGCGTACGTGGGGGGCACCATCTTCGTCCACTTGCTGTGCCCCATTGGAGTCGTCAGTAGGCGACCCTTGACTATCCTTGCTTGCGGTTCCTGAATAGCCAGCACCGCTGCATTCTCAATTTCACTGTCGTTCATCAGACTATCCTGAATCGGGCCTTGCTTTGCCACATTGTGCTGGATCACTCGAAGCGTGTTACTCATTTGGAGATGGGTAAAGCTTCCTGCAGTTTCGGCTGAATGACTCGTGAGGTCCACCACACAACACGCACTTGTAGATTGTCTCACTGCAAGCGTTGTGGTGATGTCCCTCTTTTGCACACTTGCCGCAAGTTTGGCTCCTGTTGCACTGGAAAGCTTTGTGGCCGATCTGCTGGCAGTTGTAGCACTGGTCGGGACGAGGGCGACGTTCGAAGACTCCGGTATACCCCGACTCTCCTCCGGCGTAAAAGAAGCCCTCCGAAAGAAGCGTCTGGGCGTCTGACCCCTTGGATAGATACACCACCATTGAGCCATACGCCTTCGGGACGTCGCGTTTGCTCAGCCACGCAATCTTGGCGATCTGCGTGTCATTTTCCTTCCCAAT